GACTGTATAAGGTGCTACATCACAGAATAGATGGCTACACTCAGTACAAAGAGCGAAAAATTGCATCAGATATGTATCAGATAAATAAAGCATAAACAACTATTAAACAGAAGCGGGTAAACGTTTGTACGGCGTTTACGAAGAAAATCACGTACCTTGCGAGACTAAAGAAATCAGTTGAGTCAAGAGCTCCTTGTGCACCTATCAATGTTTTCCCCCTGAGGGGGGGGGGGTGCGGGCAACCCAGGGGAATTTTGACATTTTTAAAATTTTGTCGTCAAAATCCCCACTGTTGGGCAAGGAATGGCTGTCAAAATTCCCCACTATATTCCTAAGAAAACAAGACACACATATGTTTTCCAATGCGAACATACAGTCTATACTGGTTTAAACTTGGTAAAAATTGAGACATTGTGTATAAAATACCTTTTTCGATGAAACTTGATCGTGCTTCTCCGCCATACTTGTTACCAGGCCTTTTAATGTCAAAACCGCGCAAACTTTCAAGATGGCGGATGTCAAAATTTCCCGACTCTGGGAGTTGATGCATAGGTCAAATTCCCCTCCCTGGTGCTTCATAGTGTGGTCAAAGTCCCCTGGGTCGCCCGCACCCCCCCCCCCCTCAGGGGGAAAACAATGATAGGTGCATTATTTAAATAAGAAAGACGAGGAGCTAGCCAATGTGTTATCGCCAACGTGTTATCGCCAATCGCTTGGCTCGCCAACAAGCTTTAAGAAAAAAAAGTAAGGAGGTACATGTAGCCAACGTGTACCGTCACGGACCTTGTCTTTGTTTACTGTCTAGCACAACGCCGTTGTCAACGGTGCGAACTCTTGTTCAGTGCAACGATAACTCTACCAGATCTTACGAGAATCAATCTGTAGTATTCTGTACACAGAACTGTTCAAAGCTTGTCAAAACTGCTTTAAACACTGCTTAACTGTGAAACTATTGAAATCTAAAGTGACATTATTCAACACATGTGAAAAGCTGAAAATAGACGTGACACTGGGAAAAGTCAAAGGTCAATGAGACTTGTTATTCAGTTATTGTGAACATGTCACAATTAGGTTAAAATGCGGAAGCGGATGGAACGGATCCACGGAACGGATATGCGGATAAAATACGGAACGGATGAGGATAAAATGCGTCCTTTTAATGATGTAACGACGTAGTGCTTATTATTCATAACATATCTTAAGGCGGTTTTGCAGTCCTCGCACGAAGCTCCTCGCTGCGAGTGGTTGCATCTAATTAAAATTAACTCTTAAGCATTGAGCATTGAGATTGGATGAAAGTGCTCATGCATGCACTCGCAGCGAGCTGCGAGGAGCTCCGTGCGAAGATTGGAAATCCGCCTTTATACAGCTATTTCAATTATATTTTTGGATAAATTTAGCATAGCAGTAGCCTCCTGGGGATGCTTTTAGCGACAGCTGCAAATGTATATGAAAATTTAGAATATGCAAAATTTGGTTGTTGGTGAAACAATTTAAATTTTAAATCGTCTCGTGTAGCATCACAATAAATAGATAAATTGCATCAGTTTCACAAGGCACGTTTCTGGTGTGTTAGGCTTGTTTCAAACGTCTCGCTACTCGTGTGCCGAGCGTATTAAAAGCAATAAATAATGAGATGAAATGCCTTTGGTAACTGTTTATTTCGTAGTGTAAGCCATCAGCTTTTCTAGGTTGTAGGCGACCCTATATAGTTCTTGCAGTGTCTTTTTCAATTTGAAAGTTCGCACTATCCTTGGATCCCTAGTTCATTCTAGCCAGGTTATGACGTCATACTGTGTATCTATAACCACGGGCTTTAGGACAAATTCAATTTGACAATAACAGCATTCTATCTAAATACCAGTTAAAATAAAGTGTACGGCACCTGAACTGTTCAATATCTTGCTTCTATATCCATAAAACATTTACATATATGCAAATACTGTATATTTTCAAAATCCACCATATTTATTTACATTAGAACCCAAGCTTTCGCGGTTCACACGAAGTATTAACGTCTGTGATTTTCACCAATAATAAGAGGGTAGGATCATCGAATTATTTAATCGTTCGAAGCGCGAGGAAACCATGCTTCCATATATGGCACAAACTTGTCCCCCAACTTCCTTATATGGCACAAACGTGTGCCCAAAATATTTTATCAAAGCCGTTATGATGTCATAAGATTCCTCCCGCTTTGAACAGATCACGTGGTACAGAACCCAGACCGCTGATTGGGTTAGCGATTGACAACGCCCACTTTAATCCTCCCCTCTTATTATTAGTGAAAATCACCGACGTTAATATTTCGTGTGAACCGCGAAAGCTTGGGTTCTAATGTAAATAAATATGGCGGATTTTGAAAATATATAGTATTTGCATATATGTAAATGTTTTATGGATATAGAAGCGAGATATTGAACAGTTCAGGTGCCGTACACTTTATTTTAACTGCTATTTAGATAGAATACTGTTGTTGTCAAATTGAATTTGTCCTAAAGCCCGTGCTATAACTGAGCAGAGAACAGTAAAATGTTATCTGTTAAACACATGTCACAAATACTTGCAATTTTGTAGGAGACTTGGGACAAGAAGCAAATACTAGATCCTTGTGAAGAAGACACTAAAGGAGCCGAGAAGGTTTATACACTACCGAGATTGACTGGTCATTCGTTACTGAGTGAGGAGATCCTGATGGGTAAGCATGTTGAAGATTCAAAGCTTTGCAATCCGATATCAACTGCTTACAAATCCTTCCTCACTGATACCTCAATAGTGACAAGTACGCTTATGGAAATCGAAGCAACTCTGCGTCTTTTAGGAAAGCAAAAGTCATTACTGCAAACCAACGGAGAAAATTCTGAATTGTTCTCTGCTACAGAGCCAAGTTTTGCCCTGTTCGCAGATATTAAAAGCGGTGTTTCATCCGAGTATGAGAGTGGCAGTTGCTTCAATGATGCTACTGAAAGGTCACCTATGGTTGACGATGGCCGGAGTTTATCCAAGTACACAGTCGATGACAAATTACTCTCTTGCGAGACAAACAAAGAGTGCGAGAGTGATGAAAAGCTTAATCTGAACCAAAGTGTAAATGAAAGTAACACCAACACTGCTTTTTCGAAAGACCATTTGCACAGAGTCACAGAAATGAATGCAAGCACTAACCAGATTACAATTGACCGTGCAACAACTTTTGAAATTTCAATGGACTTTACCGTCACAGATCATCGTAAGACAGAACAAGCCATCGCTGACCAAAGTACGACAGACGATGCAGTAATTGACCGGAGTTCAACAAAGCATACAAACATGCACCAAAATACGGGAAAGAGCACAATGGATTATACCAACACTGACCATCCCAGCATGGAGCAGAGCACAATAGACTATGCAATGACTGACCAGAGTTCACGTAGCCATGACAACATCGACCACAACACAATGGACTATACTACCACCACCTGTCAAAGCACAATGAACCATACAACGACATGGGACCAAAGTACGAACGATCATGCCATCTCTGACCAGATTACAGTGGACCAAGAAATCCATGAGAATAAAATGTTGGATTCTGTTTTTGGTGATCCGACTAGAACAAAAGCTACAGATACATGTACTGTGGCAGAAAGTGCAGTCGACAATGCATTTGATGTCCGTAGAATCGACATTGGTATGTGTGTCGATAATTTGGCTGATTCCAGCAGCTTAAAAACTTCTGAACTAGTACCTGATTATAATGTCAATAGTATCAGCATTTCAGAAAGTAACTCAAATCACGTTGATCACATGAAACATGAGAACAGTCTTGGCCAGACTCCTCCTGTGGCTGATAGTGCAATCACTGAACGCACAGTAACCAGAGATACAAATCTCACTCAAAGTTCAACCGACAGTATGTTAAATGACGTCGCCATGGTCAGCATTGATAACACTGATGCCACTGTTAACCGTACTAGGTCAGATGCCAACACAGGCAGCAATGAATGCGGTGCGGAAGATAAGAGAACGTTAATAACCAACATTGATAAAATTATTGTTGAACATGTAAAAACGAATCATGACTGCACTGAGAATACCGACAACACATCAAATCTGAGCACAGCCGAGTGCGACACGTCAAACCATTCTTTCAGCGATAAAAACACTACGGATAAAAACGACGTTACATTTGACAAATGCGATATCGACAATGATATTACGGGCAAACTCAGTCCAATGATGCATGATATTAAGGACGAAACATCAGAACAAGATTTACGTTGCGTCACTAACGATGATAAAAGAGAGAAAGATTGTTCTTGGCCGAGCAGGAACGAACAAAGCACAGCGAGTGTTAATAACAACATTTCGGACGACAAAATCTCGATGAGCCAAAGTGAGAATAGCGAGTACAGTTATTGCAATTCAACAAAGTTGAGACATACCACTGGTAACACAGAAAATTTGGAAGAGGAAAAAACAAATGAAAGGGGAAATTGGATCACAATATTGGATTCCAATATATCAAATAAGAACAAACAAATTACAACTAATGACAGTGATATAGATATTTTGAAGTATCACAGTACAGTAGACAGTTGTACAGACGAACATCTAGAAACCATGACCCACTCAATTACAGACCCCATTCCCGATAACTCAGCTGAACACGCAAGCATGAACGACAGTGGAATTTCCACATCAACAAATTCGGCAGTTGACCGCTACCTTAGAAAATTGGAAGCTCAAATTGATGCAGAAAAATGGCAGGCACAACAATATATTGAACAGATTTCAAGACTGTGGGATAGTCCGTTTTTATGTAAAAATAAATAATAAAGGGGTGGTTTAGACGTTCTCGGTGTAGAATGCTTTCCCTTAAGGCTGATTTCCACTGTTGCGTTTTTCATACGTACGTATACGCACGTAAAACTTTAAATCCGTTTAAATGTTACTTATGAAATAACCAAATAAATAAAGCAACAGAATTTAGTGTTCCGCAAGTTTTAGTATGCATTTGTTAACTTACCCGTAAAATATTTAAAAAATAGAAGGATTCAAAGTTTTACGTGCGTACGAAAAACGCAACAGTGGAAATCAGCCTTAAGTTAGAGGTAAGACGTGCATTGTACCCCATGAAACAATTTTAGGTCTACCGTGATTTTGAAAAGTCATGCGAACCTTTGCAGACCTGTTATAGGACTCAATTTCAATTCATATAAATAACGCACCTGTCTTGCTGTTTGAATGCTAATCCTAACCGCTGACCCTGACTAATAAACAGCGAGACATGAATTAATATCCCAAATATGCTGTAAGGTACGTTTACAACGCTGTGAGCGGACTTGAAGAACAATTTAGATGGTAATGTCGGGTTATGCTTTCAACGTATTTGTCAAATAGCGTAGCGAACCTAAGATGAGCTGAATCTAGTACGTGGACGTGACAAAAAGACAGTTACTTATGCTTCTTTTTTGGATTTGTTACTAGTTTAAATTTGTTTTTCATCTGTATCCTTCTTTGTTAACAAAAATAATCCATATTTTTTACCTGTCTTACTGACACTGCGAATTTAAGGCTGATTTCCACTGTTGCGTTTTTCATAGGTACGTATACGCACGTAAAACTTTAAATCCGTTTAAATGTTACTTATGAAATGACCAAATAAATAAAGCAACAGAATTTAGTGTTCCGCAAGTTTTAGAATGCATTTGAAAACTTATTTGTAAAATATTTAAAAAATAGAAGGATTCAAAGTTTTACGTGCGTGTACGTGCGTACGGAAAACGCAACATCGGAAATCAGCCTTCAGGGTGTGTTTTTTGTCACGGCTGCGTACTTGATTTACCACATTTTGAGCTCTCTATTAATGTGAATCTGAAATCGCCATGACAAATCCAACACACTAGAGTCGCTTTTGGACATTTATCGAAAATAATATAGAAAATGGGGATTGCACTGGCCTCTGACTCTTATAAAAGCTTTCTATACTCATTCACATTGTAGTACATTTCTATTTTGTTTGTAGTTTTGTAATTTTTGTAAATTGATAAGAGTTTGCATAATGCACGATAGAGAATTTCTTGCTGTAAATACCTACTTTCAAAACAGATTTCTAGCAAAGATTGTAGATAGTCTTTACACGAGATTTCTAATTTATTATTTCCAATGACAAAGAAACCGAATGATTAAATCACAAATTTTCATACCATTTTATTCATGTTTTTTTGCTGCCGAGCGCAGCGAGGCAGCTCACCATTTTCTGCCGAAGGCAGCCACCTATTCTTGACAATGTGTTTTCCTCGCACCAGTCCGTTTCTGATTGGCCGAGTTATGTATAGCCGAACGAAAACTCGATTTTATTCGCATGTACGAAATGTTTGTTTGTACGGATGATCAGATTCATGACGCTTTTTGACGTCACAGAAATTTTAAGAAATAACATTCAGATCTCGATTTGACTTCCGAATACCCTGGTTGAGATTCATGAACACCATCATGGGCTATTACTATTTGTAAATAACATGCCTCGTGCTTCTTCAGCCCTGTTGTAAATTTTGATTCCAGCTGTTTATCTAAATATTTTTTACATCTGACTGTTTATCGAAAATAATCTTCAAGGTAAGATGAAAGTCTGATCACAATTGCGGGCTGCATACGTTAAATAACCGGAGAAAAATACATAAATTGTTGTTATTGTACAAAATGGTTAAAGGTTTAGCTCCAAGTTATTTGTCGGATCTTTGTCCTGTTTACGTAAACCAAAGAACTACATATAGCCATTATAGGCTTCGGACTAGGAACGATTTAAGTTTACCTTTCATTCGCACCGAGAAAGCAAAAAAACCTTTTTGTATTCTACAATTTTTTTATGGAATCATCTTTCTGAATCCACGAGAGAATCTGCAACATTTGTTCTTTTTAAAACTGCTTTATTACGTGAACGATTTTATATACACGAATCGCGAAATTCAATTGCGCATCCAAATGACGCGTTCTGAGTCGGGCAATGCCCAAATTCAAATAAAAACATGCAGCTGTGAAAGGATGATTTAAAATATGCGTATTAAAGTATTGAAATGTTCGGTCATGCATTCGTGTTGTATTGTAATAATATGTAATCATGAGTGAACATTTGAATACTTGAATACGCATATTTTAAATCATCCAGTCACAGCTACATGTTTTTCTTTAACTGTGATTTTTGCCCGAATTTCGCGATTCGTGCGTACCTCCTGTCAATAGATTGTCTTTTTTTTTTTGTGACTGGTATTTTTCGGCCTTACAAGATTAAGACTAAACAATTGCGGTCTTAATCATTTATCATTATCTTTTTTCAATGAACTGTGTACATGTTCTATCCATAGATATCTTATATACACTGCAATCAGTTTCCAAAGTTTTGGGACAGATGCCACAAAACCTCTGAATTTCAACAAACGACAATCCCCCCGCACCCTGTTCAATGTTGTGTCCCATTTCTCGTCGGGTTTGATGTGTTTTGGTTTAAACAACATTGACTGGGGGGAGGGGGAGGGGAGCGGTATTGTGTATAAAACACTGTAATGATCCACTTACAAGCTAAAACTACATGTGTCCCAACAACTTCTGAAAGTGATTGTCTGGGCCCCATATGCCATAACATCATTGTACATCTCAAAAGTACAGGGGATAGAATGCTCTGCGAACGAAGTATTTCGGCTCCATTTCGTTCACAGAAGATCTAATATAACATTATAGAACAATTAAGTTTCATTAAAATTCTCAAAGTTAATAATTAACAGAATATGAATATAATTTTTTATGTCATATAGCATTCTTAATCACAAAGGTTTTATACGTTGTTTGTTTCCACAAATTTCGGCAGAGCACAAGTAGGTTTTTGAGAGGTTATAGTCCGTCAATAAAGGTAGGTATCGCAAATGTTTTACGCTAGATATGTCACACATACTGTTAATTTATAGCATAGTAATATAACATCCGGTTACTTTCGCATACGGGTAAGGCTGTAAGGGCTGAGTCAACTGCTAATTCGGGTACTCCAAAGGTAAAGAACTTTTGATTTTTATCACCAATATAGTCAATGTGACATTTCACATCTTTCTAGAGCAGAATTTGCAGATATAATTGTCGACGCATGGGTACGAAGGAGCACTTAGTGGGTGGGAATTTCGGAGGCTCATGAAAAGGGCGGTATATATAGTCACTTCCACATGGCTAAAAAATTGTCCGCAAGGTCAAGTTGGCGAGCTATCGGAAAGCTCGAGAAGAGTAAATGCGGCATTTAATTGAACTCAGTCAGACAGTTCCAAAAATTACTATTAGCGTATTCGTACGTGGTAAAGAATGACCTGGACTTCATGATTTCTCCAAGGCTTATAGACCTCCCTAATGTGGACGCGTTTGCAAGCACTAGCGCGCGCGACCCTCTGAAGCACGAAAGTTGCACAGGCTTCCAAAAATATGTAACGAAAGGGCCTTTTTACTACCATTTTCCCCAGCAAGGACCACGGACAAATATTGCCGCAAAATACCAGCCTTGGCATTAAAGCCAAGGTCCGATCCTTGTGCAAAAGGAATATTGCGGTTTATAACCTGGCACACCCCAACAACCCGAACGTTATATGTGTGCCTTAAAGCATGCACAAGGTCGTCGATTTTAGACCCCACCACCTCGGGGGCATGGGTCGACAAATCGTTAGTTCCAAACTCCAAGATTACAATATCGGGCTTATACTTATGCACCGATTGCAAATCGTATTTAACGACCTTTTCGACGGTTCGGCCACCCGTCCCTAACAAAGTAATATAGCCCGACTCTTGAAGATGAAAATTAGCAGCCGCACGTGTATCAAAGTGCCATCCAAGTTGAGTGGTTATGCCGAAGACAGTCAACGGCATAACCATCCAAGTTGAGTGAATATGCCGAAGACTGTCAACGGCATAACCATCCAAGTTGAGTGGTTATGCCGAGGACAGTCAACGGCATAACCATCCAAGTTGAACGTTTATGCCGAACATATTCAACGGCATAAACATCTAAGTTGAATGTTTATGCCGAGCATATTCAACGTCATAAACATCTAAGTTGAATGCTTATGCCGAACATATTCAACGGCATAAACATCTAAGCCGAATGTTTATGGATAGAGATCATTAGTTCAGCTATTATCAATTCGCTATGTTCATGAACTCGTGGTACAGTGGTAGAAACTACAGACGTCAAATGAGTAATGGATCGATTCTCGCCGAAGAAATTTTTTATACATTTTAGCACCAAGAAATATTTGGAAATTTTTTTTTTTCTCGAAAAATATTTTCCCAGGATGAAAGCAAACGGTATATTCCTACTTACTTTACCCTAATGTTTATGCGGAACATATTCCACGCCATAAACATCTAAGTGGATTGGTTATGCCGAACGGAGTCAATGGCATAACCATCCAAGTTGAATAGTTATGCCGAAGAGAGTCAACGGCATAACCATCCAAGTTGTATGGTTATGCCGAACATATTCAACGCCATAAACATCTAAGTTGAATGTTTATGCCGAACACATTCCACGCCATAAACATCTAAGTGGAATGGTTATGCCGAACGGAGTCAACGGCATAACCATCCAAGTTGAATATTTATGCACAACGTATTCAACGGCTTAGACATCTAAGTTGAATGTTTATGCCGAACATATTCAACGGCATAAACATCTAAGTTGACTGTTTATGCCAAACATATTCAACGCCATAAACATGGAAGTTGAATGGTTATACCGAACGGAGTCAATATCATAACCATCCAAGTTCAATGGTTATGCCGAAGACAGTGAACGGCATAAC